GAATGGGAAGAGGGTGGAAGAGGAGACATGGTTATATTTACACAAAATAAACTGTAGACTAGTTGAATTCATTTCTGCCCTGCCCTCAAAGCAGTGACAAAAATGTACTAAGAAATAAAAATAGACATAACATGCAATCACTTAGAATGACTCTGTCCTGGCACAACATGTAATTAAGTCCTGGAACTTGCTCCTACAAGATTTTATTCAAATAAATAGTTCAGATCAACAGAAATGATTAGATATAGCAAACGCTGTTTATATATAAGAATCTCAAAGTTTGGAATTTGGAACTAGTAATGTGTTAAGCAAATAAATAAAATGCAAACAGCTCAGTCTTCCAGACAATGTGTTGGCATATTATATGATTTCCCTTAGTTTGGACAAATTATTTCAATCAAGTCATTTTCTTTTTATTGTTGTGCTTTTTGTATTACTATCGCCATACCAGAGAGATTTTACACTTTCAAACTCTCTATGTTTCTTCTTCTTCTCCTCCACCTCCTTCTAATGTGTGGAATTGAACTGAGGCCCTCATTTTAGCTAGCAAGCACACGCACCTAGCTCCTCAGCATAACTATAGCTATAACTGTGATTTCCACCTTAGTATTTTTCTCTAGCACCGTACTAGCGTTCATGTACTCTATGTTTTCATTGAACAAACTTAATTTCCTATCTTTCATTATACTCATTTCCAAGATCTTATGGTCTGTCAAGTTTTCTTAGCTTGTCTTGTTAACCTACAGAGCTTGCCACCTTAACCAGTTGCCAGAATTTGTAGGTTGGTAGCAACTGGGCTGACCTCTGTGGCCCTAATTTTGGGAAACAGTGAAGGCATTCATCTTTTTCTCTCTATTGTGCTGTGTTTAAAATGAACATTATGGTTATGTACACTTGTCAACACTAAAGATGAACACATAACTCCATACTCACAGTTCATAACCTAACAATTTGTTTTGTTTTGTTCTCTGGTTTCAACTGTTGCTACAGAAAAAAAAACACAAACAAACACATAAATCTTCAATGTACTGCCTAGAAATAATTACTTTTCAGCCATAATTCGTTAATCCTTAGTTAATCCTCATTAAATCCATACTTTATATGTGGGAATTTTCCAAGGTCTCTTGTCAACACGTTTTTCTTCTGTTGATTCTGTATCCTTTATATAGTTTAACTATCCCATAAAAATGTCAAATATTCCAAAATTATCATTTCTTTACCACCAAACATTTCTTTTGTAAATGGAATTAAAATTTCAAGCACATATATTATGTGCTCCTAGCTGTTTATGAAATTGTTCTCTAATTTTGGAGAAAAGAATTACTTTGGGTTGAGATAGACTATGTTGTTTTATTTCGGGGCCTTTTAGTTTCAAAAAGACACATATTCGGCACATTTATACAAGAAACTCAAAGAGAATTCATAGATTAGTGGTGCATTTTGAGTATCTGATACAAGGTCCAGTTACAATAAACATTCATTCTAGGTGCTTGACAGCTAAGCATAATAAGATTAGGAAGAATACACCTTTCTCCCTACTTCTTCATGGGATGTATGTTGGGTGTTGAGCCCTAGTCAGTAGGCATCTGATATAGTAAGCGCAAATAGTATTCTTCAGCGATAATGGTGCTTTTCAGGATTGAGAGTGTAAAAGAAGAACCAGGCCACGTGATGGGAAGCGGGGGAGACCCCTTACGGTTGTTTCAGCTGGGAGGGAAACTGCCTTGGTGGGGTGTGTCATGCACAGCAGAGTGAGCCTTGGGTAAGTGAGTGAGAATAGCCAGCTGAAATGTTTAGGTCATTCTCATTTGTGTGGCCTCATCTGTACTTGGAAACTGGCAAGGTCTATGGAAATTAGGGCTGTAATTGTCTGGCAAGGGAGAATAATTGCCATGATCCTCCAGTTGTGTTCCCATGGCTGAATTTCCTTCTTGACTTATGTCACTTTGGGATTGGTTGGCTGTAAATAAACTGTTGCAGACACTCTAGTGGGAGGAATTTCTGAGTATAGTGGAGACAAATAGCAAGAAGACCTTTAATTAACGTCTACCTCGTAATCCCAGGAGGATTTTCCAGTTGGCATATCATTTGGGTCACTTGTTTTTATTTAACTTTCTGGTCATTTGTAACTTTATCTCTACAGTGGAGAGAGAAGAAGGATATAGGCTTTAAGGATTTTGAATCACTGAAGTGAATTTCCCCTGTATTAGAACCGATAACAAGAAACCCATTTGTTTTATTTTTTTCATCTCAACAGAAACTGCCATCAGAAAATTTACTGAAACAGTTGATTCAATGATTATTCATTATTTTATTAGTCTATACTGTTACAAAGGTAATAAGGCATCATGGAGGTAATCAATAGCTAATCAAACTTTAGTAGGCAAGATCTCTTTCTTTTTTGGAAAGAGTCAGAGGTGAAGAAAATGAAAGACCACTTCTATGTTGATAGTACTAATTCTGGTAACTGTTTACAATAGAAGACTAGTCACTTTGGCAAGCATCAGCTGCTCTTCGGAAGCCATTCAGCTGAAAGAATTTGGGTTACAGTCCTTCCTGTGTGTGGTGGGCTGTGGTGGTTGTAACACAGAGATAAACGCTGTGTTGGGAGATCCTGGAATGGGATGTCATCCTTTGTGTGGCCTGTTCTACAGGCAAAGGGTCAGCAGTCAATTGGTAGATCTGACCACCTTCCAGGGGCGAAATCTCTAGCAGTGAACTCTAGCCTGTAGGATGGCAGGGAAAATATGGGCGGTGTGCTGTGGATTTCCATTGCCAGTCAGTAGGGTGGAGGACAGGCTGGCAGAATGACAGGAATGAGCTAACTCACCCAGTTTCAGGTTACCTGAAGCTTTCTTAGCTTAGGGGAGTATCTTGAGAGGTCAGCCACAATGATGAACTCAACAGATACTTCTCTGGAAAATTACAGGCCACTGGGAAGAAGAAGGAGTAAGGAAGGATGAAAAATGGTACAAAAAGAAGTCAGACATAGTCAGGGGTATAGAAGCATTTTCTACTTTAATGAATGATGAAAGTTTTGTGTTAAATTCTCTTAGGTTATTACTTCAGGCAAATTTGCACAAGATAGGGTGAGAAAAGATGGGGTGTGAGAAAGAAATGCCAATGGAATATTAAACTTGGAATCACAGCTGTGAGTTTTTTTTTT